TAGACGAATAAAACATCTCGCGCCCCCCCGCGTGACTATAGATAGTATCATTTGTCTATAAAATTGTTATAAGTACACCTGTGCGTAACACTGCCACCTTATATGATGCCAACAACGCTCGCTGGTTTACTGAAGTAGCAGTCACAAGCGGGATGATTGTCGGCAATATTCGGCACGTTTTCGCTGAAAAATCTCAAGCGGCTTATCAGAGTGATTGGGTGTAATGTATTTAAGTGACGCCTTAATTTATTGGCTTCATGCTGTCCGCTGCCAACATTTTTAGACACAGTAAGCACACCGGTCTTTCCTCGTCTCCCACCGTATCACAGTGAAGCCGAGCGCTACATACGCTTCGTCATATTTCCTCGTCTTAGCTTTCGGGAGATTTTCGTTTGTCTCTTTATCTCCGTCTCTCTCCACCTGTCTTCTCATCCTGTTAAATATTTTTTCATGGTGTCACTTGAGGGTCTGCTACACTTCGTGTCTACACTTCATACTCAAACTCTGTGCTGTGTGCAAAGCACGCATGCTCAGTGCAAACAAAACTCCTACACCACCGAGCGAATGCTCCCTGCGCACACTCTGCCAATGAGAGCGCCACTGCCCCCTAATGTAGTGGAAGTGCAATTGCACTTTATTCTAAAGGCCAGTTCAGACCAAAGCGTCAAAGCGTCCACTTTTTTATGTAAAGTCTATGTGGACGCGCGACTAGAGCGTCCTGCGTTTTTGCGGCGCGTTTTCGGCGTCAGCGCGGCGCGAATCTGGCGTCAGCGCGGCGCGTCTTCAGCGTTTTGGCGTCAGCGGCCAAGACGCGCGTCCAAAGCGTCAGCGTCAAGAAGTTGAAAACTTTTCGCGTCAGACGCGCCGCGTCAACCAATCAGGGACGAGTATCCAGAGACGCAGCGACGTTATTATCAGGAAGAAAGACCCGAGAACCAGAACGAGAACCACAAACACGAGCGGAGAATAAATATACACCACAATCACCGAGCTGATCGCGAGGAATACACCAGGACCGGACCAGGACCAAACCAGGACTAGACCGGGACTAAACAAGGACTAGACCGAGACTAAACAAGACTAGACCGGGACTAGACCGTGATTAGACCGGACTAGACCGGGACTAGACCGTGATTAGACCAGGACCAGACCGTGATTAGACCAGGACTAGACCGGACTGATCCAGTGTCATTAGCGGAGTAGAAATATATATACGCCCCAGTCGTCGACCCGATCTCCTCCGTTGATGTTTTATGTCATAAAAACACTCTCAGTCTGGTCTGATATTGTTTCGGGAAAAGAGCGGGACCGGGGTCTTGTTTCCAGGGCAACGGATGCGCGTCGAGTATTTTTGTCCCGTTCGTCCACGGCGTCAAAGACGCGCGTCGGGGGGCGTCTAAACTCAAATGCAAAGGCTCCAAATAGAGGCGTCAAGGCGTTTTTGACGCTTTGTGTGAACGGCCCTTAAGACAGTAAAAAACATCTAAATAAAAAAATAAAAAAGCATGTTCCCCGAGGTCAAACGCGCCCCCCTTGACGGAGCTCGCGCCCCCCAGGGGCTATCCCACTATTTGAGAAGCACTGATTTAAGCAGAGAGACTTGTAATTCGACATATTGTGATGGTCTACGATATCTGAAGTAATTTAAGACTGGTAAATTACCCTATTCATGGCTTAATTGCCTTGCACAAAAGCACAAATACAAATCTGTAACATAAGGAAAGAAGTACTGTTAGTCTTGCATCCATAGTAGTAAAGCAAAAACATATATATATGATGTTCACTGGGCACATTTGCATGTTGTGAAACACCATGGCATACTGAATAGAAGTTGTAACCAGCTGACACTGAAGGTCGCTATGGGTGACAGACGCCGAGATTGAATGTTGAAATTGAAAAAGGAAAAAAAAAAAGAGCTTGACACTGCCTTATAGAGTGAAGCTGTCCGGTGAGACATAAAGGGAAGATGAAATGACAGATGTGAGTTTTGTATTACCAACATGGCCGATATTTGTCTTTCATTGCTGCTACAGAGCTGTCATGGCCAAAGGTTATCTGTATCCAGGAGAAGGCCGATGAAGACTCAAACAATCTCTCAAAGGGTATTGGTGCAAGAAAGGTTGAATCAGATGATAACCTTGCTCAAATTCCTATGTGGGATTACTACCACTTGCGCAATGCCGGTGTGTGTTTGGGAATAGAATCTGTGGTTTAATCTTAGACATACTTGACCTTTCCAAACCTATACACAAATATAATGGTAAAAATTCCACTTTGATTCCACTTGTTGGCACCTCCTCAAGTGCAGACCTCCTCACCTCCCCTCTCCAGCGTCTCAGGTTGTCTCTCATCACCGTCTGTGTTTTTCTTAATTGATGTCGCTATGAAGCAATCAGCAGGGGTTTCCATGGTGACGAGCGCGACAACTACTCAGACGGCTTATGATGTTACGCTGTAGCATCTCTTAAGAGGATTGTATAAAAGAAGTGTTTGGTTTGATGTGACTAGCACGGATAATTTTACAAGTGGGGGTATGTCTAGGCTAATCTTCTAATTTGATTATATTAGAGTGATAATAACATCTTTTCAAAATCACTTCGTCAAGATAAAAGTAAGTTGTTGAGGATCTTAAGTTTTATAATTTCCAGCTAACAATGGCTGCTCCATTCACTAGGGCATCACTTAATTTGGTTTTAATTATTTACTATCATGAAATATGAAAACTTTGAGTATTAGTGGAGAAAGCAATTTTTTACACAAGCTATTAAACGCAAGTCCAGGTCTTAACACAATGTTTTTTAATTGCAAAATAGAGATAATAAGGGATGGGCATTTGATAAAATTTTCTTAATCGATCGTTGGGAGAATTAACACTCAATTTTCTATTAATCATTAATGTTTTTATATTAAAATGATCATTATTATTATTACTATTACTAATCTGCATAAATGAACTCATCTTTACAACATATAAACCATAACCACTATAGAGCCACACCAGCCTGTTTGAGATTATAATGTGTTTAATGCAGCTTTAACATATTTGTTTGTTGAAACTCCAAACTGCATGGCTAATTTGCATAAACTATAAGTGCTGAAAAAAACAGCTCTTTCCTTGTGTGGTGATGCAGTTCAGCTTCTGTCGGACTAAAGGACACGACTCAGTGGAATATGAGTGTTCTGCCTGTGACAGAGGGATGTTGATGATGGTGAGTCTGTTTTGTGTGTGTGTTGCGTTGAAGATGGTTCATGGTTTCAGAGATCATACGTGTGCAGGTTTAGCGCAGCTCTTTATTTAACATCATTTCACTTACTTTTATTTTGGTTACTGTTGTGATGAAATACTGAAAAGTGTCTGTCTTTTGTTGCTTAACTTTATGTTGCAATAACCTTGATACTGCACCATGACGAAACCGAGATACTTAAAAAATCCGATCATACCCGGGACACTGATGTGCATGTAAATCCTCTCACTGAGTGGCACAGTGATCTTCAGGGAGGTGTGCCAGAGCTGAAACGTGGGCATGTGAGGCCTCAGCTCCACTGTTTTCACTGTCAGACACAGCCTCATTTCCTTAGACTACGCTACACACAGCAACCTACATTTGGTTTGTCGATTAAAAATGAACGTAATCAACAAAATTCTTTAAGATCGATTTGTCAACTAATCATGCCCATCCCTAGTGATAATGCCCCTTTCATGTTTCATGTTTGGGGTTATGATACAGGATAAAATGTTTTTCACTGAAATTTGCACAAATTAACTTTAATCACATATCTTTATTTTAGTCAAATCCCAGTAACTTCATAGCCACATGTTCAGTAATGAAAGGTTCACTATGTATTTTTTCTAGTTGAGCGTACAGTATCTTGACTCCATGAAAATGTTATTGGTTTCCTGAAGTGTTCCACAGTATGACATTGAACTTAAAGTATTTGCCTTTCTTCAATTACTGGTGTTTTCATTGCTCAAAAATACCTTTTAAAACACATATTTTTCTTATTGTGAAATCTGACCTGTTTCTTGGCTTGGTGGAGCCACATGCTTTTTTCCATGGAGATGCTGTATTTTCACCTTTAATGCAATACTGTGGAACATTTCAGGCAAAGGAATAACATATCATTGGAGACAAGCAGGTGGTGGACCCACACCAGGGAAGTTGTATTGTACATTTTTAAAGGCCCTATATTATGCAAAATTTACTCTTTCTTTTCTTCTTTTAGCCTTGTTATAATATTTTTACCTGATTAAAAACATGCCTGGAGTGTTTCATTTACAAAGGTTTTAGTAATCATTTATTATTAGTCTGTCTATATCTACAAAGCCTAAAATACTTTGTTCCACCTTGTGATGTCATGTAGTGGTAGTTTTCAAGTTAACAACTACCCTTTACCTTTAGTTCAGCAGAGATTGATTGGCAATTACAGGGCTGAAATCAACCAAATGACTACAGTGAAAGTGTATGGAGTTTGAAAACACAGTGGCGCACTTCCTTTATGACCACACGACATTACAGGGTGGAACAGTGTTTTGTTTAAGTGAAGGATCTGTGTGTTAAACTTATGTGGATGAATCAAAACACAAAACACAACTCCAGGTGTGTTCTTGATGAGGAAACAACATTATACCAGTGATCAGAAAATAGCATAATATGGGTACTTTGATGAAAACAGCAAAAGTTGTATTCTAAACTGAGTTGTTTTGCTTGACATATTCCCATCCGTATCTAGTAAACAAGGTATAATACAGCGTGAATGTGTTTGCGGTACTCAAACGCTCTGGGCTGTATGCAGATAATACCACTGATAGTGTGGGATTGGAAACGGCAAAACAAACTCGCATTGATTGTCCTCATCAGACACAGCTACGGCCTGTAATGAAAGCAGCCTTTTGCCCCCGCTGTGAAAATCTGCCCGTGATTGTTGAAATGTTCCTCTATTCACTGCAGCAGTTCATTGGGTATAGATCTTTATTCACATGTGCTTTTGTCTGTTTGCAGGACCGGGTTTACTGGACAGACCTGGAGGATGAAGCCATTTACAGCGTGAACCGTTTGACTGGACACGACGTGGTGAAGGTGGCAGAACATCTGAACAACCCTCTGGACCTGGTGGTGTTCCATGAGCAGAGGCAACCCCAGGGTAAGGCTTCTATAGGGGATGGGTGTCCACACTTTTTCTCCCTCTATTGTGTATTATACTGACAGGGCCTTTTTACAGCAGTGTAACATTACGCCTGTCATGATAATAATTTTGAAGTGTGACAGATTTACGAACTAAATATAGACATAAACGATAATACTGAAACCAAACTATGAAGCAGAATGATCCCCCAAAATATCAGCTGCAGTAAATACATAATAGAATGCAACACGGACTATAAGTCACTCCGGAGTTTAAGTTGAACCAGCCAAAAAATGCATAATGAAGAAGAAAAAAAAACATATGTAAGTCGCACTGGGCTATAAGTCGCATTTTTTGGGAGAAATTTAGAACAACAGGCTGAATAGGTGTTTAGTATGTTACAGTTATATATGAATAGTTATTCAGATAACTATAGCATAAACAGCATAACATAACAAGTTTACCACCAGTAATCCATTGAATTCTTCATCGGTGTCACTTCTGAGCAACTCCACCAACTCTTTAGCCCGCCATTACCGTTTTTCTTTTCTTCATTGCAATCCGCTTTTCGCCAGTCCCTCACAAGTTTCTCGCTCACTCTAAACTTTCTTTCAGCTGCTCGATTACCATTTTCGGCTGCATTTTTCACTGCTCGCAGCATGAAAGCAGCTCTACCTGCAGGAGACATGCGCAGTAGAGTGAAGTGACAGTGGTACAGGAGTGATAGGAGTAGCAGATACTGACACACAAGCCTAGAACGCCCTCTCGTGGTTGTCAGCGTGAAAAAACAAACATATGAAATTATATAGTTTAATATGTAAGTCACACCTGAGTATAAGACCCAAGCTCACCCAAAACATGAAAAAAGTGTGATTTATAGTTGGAAAAATACAGTAAGTACTTAGTTTGTATCTATAATGATTCACAGAAATTCATAATTCAACCCTATACAGCTCAAATCCTGTCATAGTACAGAAAAAAAAACAAGAAGTACCCATGATAAATATTGACCCCCCCCGCAAAATTATTGTTCCATCTACCATGTATTGAACAATAGGTCAATTTAGTAATAATTGTGACAGGTCCATGTAGTGATGATACTAAAACTTCAAACTTAATTTCAATATTAAGGAAAAGACTCTTAGTACTCGAAACCAACTGCGAAATTATGAAATCGTAGTACTTTCTCTTATATGACAATGTGGAATTATATCTGTGTAATCCCTCAGTGGTCCAGATAGGTTCCATAGTGGTCTATGTAGTAGTCTATGTGCTCTAATATTTCTTCTGATACAGCTCAAGATCATTCTAAAGCTATTCAAGAAAGGTTCATTTCCGTCTTATGAATGTGACTTTTTTAGTATTGTTACTTGCTTAAATGAGTGTATATATCTAGTAATATCTAGTTTTTATACTAGTTTTACTGTTGGTTCTGTTTTTCAAAATTGTCCACAATGTAAAACAAAAAGTAGTAAGGCAAGATAAACATATATTCAGTCTCATATGTACACATCTGCTTCCAGAATATAAGACTGCACGGATTAACGGTTCATAAATCCTGTCACAACCATCAAAATAATAGAATACAATGGGTAGTTCAATAATGTGATGGCTCAATGTAGACCAGAATGCATTGCAGGAGGGCAGGCCTTTGCAGTAAAGTGCTGGTGTTGCACTTTAGTCACCAGGGATATACATGATATTGCCTCTTTCATCACAGAGCAATATTTACAGTATATGATGTGTTTATGAGAGTTGTATATTGTTACATCCAGTCGTCAGCACTTGAAATGGGAAGTCTATAGCAGAGTATGCACAACTATAAAAGTTAAATTTGCAAGTTTTTTTTTTCCCATCTGTATGTACCATGGTGCATAGTGTCTTGTTTTCTCTTGACTCCCAAGCATGATGATAATAATAAAAGTTCCATTATAGCTCTTTAATTTTGTGATAAATAGTCTCTTCAATACAAATACACCAAATACACTCAAGAGGGGCATACTGCAAGTTTGGTTTAGTCACACACAGTACTTTGTTCTGCTTTTCTAGTTTAAAGATCCTATATTACGCAAAATTAAATTTTGGAAGCTTTAAAGGGACAGTCCGGAATTTTGGACATAGGACCTCATTTCCTAGTGAGCCAGAGTGTTGGACACAGTTTTTTTTTTAAATATTCCATCCAGTCCTTTTATTTGCAGAGGTCGCTGGTGCTAGGCTAGTGCATGTCATAGGCCATAGTTAGCCTGCCACTCCACAAAACACCCAAAGCAAATCTATTATAACACCAGACTGTGGATGTGAATGACTGTGTTGATAGAATAATGTTTGAAATAAAACTAACCTTCGCATCGCATGAATCGTTGTATGTTGAGGGACTATTTTCTTAGCAGCAGTGGAATTTTACTTTGCCATTAAGGTTAGTGCTAAGTGATATCAGTCCACCGCTGCCAAGCTTTCTATCAAGAAATAGAACTCGCTGCTGCTGCTCAGACATAAATCCTTCAAATGCAAGGTTGGTTTTACTTCTAAAATTATTCTAGCAACACAGACATTCACATTGACAGTCTGGCATAATAATAGATTTGCTTCAGGGGTTTTGTGGAGTGGGTAAGACTGTTTTTAGTGGCAGGCTAACTATGGCCATAGACATCCACTAGCCTAGCACCAGCGACCTCTGCAAATACAACGACTGGATGGAATATTTTAAAAAACTGTCTCCACACGTCTCCAATGCTCTGGCTCACTAGAAAATGAGGCCCTATGTCAAAAATTCCAGACTGTCCCTTTAAGCCATATTGTTACCTCATCAGAAACATAGCTGTAGTTGTGTTTCGTTTCATTCACACATTATTGAGTAACCCTTTATTATTGATCTGTCTACAGCTCAAAATGCTCTGTTCCACCTTGTCACGACGTAATGTGTTTTTTTTTTTTCAGGTCAACTTTTATCTTAAGTTTAGTAAAGATTGTTAATTCAAGGGCTGAATTTATCCAAATGGCTCTAGTGAATACATATGGAGTTTTAAAACACAAGGTGGATCAGGGTGTTTTCTATTCGAAAGAAAAACTCGGCCTAAATACGCACGATTTGTGTGTTAAACGTGTGTGAATGAAGCAAAACACAACTTCAGGCTTGTTTGTGTCGAGGAAACATCCGAAAATAGCGTAATGTGGGCCCTTTAATTGCATCCAGTCTTCCCTTTCCAAATTAAGCTTTTCCTTTTCCTGATTAAACTCCTTTGAACATCACACTATCTTTGAATCCCTCATATGTGGTGTATTAAAACCGCCCACACCCATAAACAATGCACTGATAGGGAGCTCATTACAAAGATGTGTGTTTTGCATGTTAATTTTCTTCTTTGTTGTCGTGGGGAACGGGCCCAGGTGCCACCACACACCTGCTATAGTGCACATGGCTCTTTCCACTACTATGAATGGGGTTTGTGTGTGAGAATGTCCCATCCTTTTGTTTTGCTCCTCGCCATCGTAGCTCCAACAGTTTTGTCTGAATGCCAGTGGGGAACTAATTGCGTTCTCTCATTAATAAATCAACAGATCTGCTCAGAGGAAAATCAGAAATGTGCACATGTTGTCTGCTAAATAGCAACAAAGACGAGACTACAAAGAGGGTTTAGCAGAAATACAAAATGGAAATGTTAATTGATTTTTCTTGTGCTTGTGTCAGTCTTGTCGCCATGGTGATATCTCTTGCAAGTTATTAGAAAGTATGAGTAAATACTGTGATAAGATGCTTTATTTTGTTTATAGTTATACCGTATATATGAATTAAGTAATATTCTCTACCAGTTTTAGTAGTAAGGCATTGTGCAAAGTGGATATAATGCAAGCTAAAATATTCACAAATATAACGTTAAATGATTTTCTTGTGCTCGTGTCAGTCTTGTCGCCATGGTGATACTCTTTGCAAGTTATTACAAATATAAATAAATGCTATGATGTGAAGATGCCTTTTGTTTGGAGCTATACCGTATATCTCAACAAACTTTAATCAGACATTGTGCAAAGTGGATACAATGCAAACTAGAATTATTCACAATTGTTATGGCCTTGTCCTTTAATCAATCAATCAATAAATAAGTGAGAATACAATTATAATATTGAACTAGAAAAGCACTCAGAGAGCGCAGACCTCCGCCAAGGACTACCCCCATTTTTTATATAAATTGCGATAAAATCAGTCTTCTGGATCAGATCCGGATCAGCCTTTGGAATATGAAAGAGGATCCCATTGTCCATCCCTGAGTCAAATTTCATGGGGTTTGGTCAATAATTAACCGAGATATTGAGAAACAAAATTTTTGGCCCCATTTACCACAATGTTAACTAAAATTTCAAAGTGATCCAGAATCCAGGATTTCTTCCGGATCACCCCCAAAATGAAATCAATTCTTCCTTTTCACATTTCCAACAAATCCTGAAAATTTCATCAAAATCGGTCTATAACTTTTTGAGTTATGTTGCTAACAGACAAACAAACAAACAAACAGACAAACGCCGGCAAAAACATAACCTCCTTGGCGGAGGTAATAAGAACTGTACTTAGCACTTAGCAAACCATCTTCCAAAAAAGTAGTAGTAGTAGTATGTTACAAACCAGTGCTATGGAAAAAGGAAAGTAACACAAACAAGATGTGATATAAAGTAAGTGAAGCCACTTACTATGAATGACAAAAGTACAATAACAAAATGTGTTTTACATTCTATAAATAAAAAATTCTAATGGAATAGAGATAAATCAAAGAAAATACAAATGCCCAAGGGCTGAGCCAAGCTGGCAATTACAAAAACAAAAACAATAGGCCAATAACGACCTAGAAGTAGTAGGAGTCGTAGAAGTAGTAGTCGTAGTAGTAGGTAGTAGTGGTAGTAGTAGTAGAAGTAGTAGTTGTTGTAGTAATGGTAGTAGTAGTCGTAGTAGTAGTCATAGTTGTAGTAGTTGTAATAGTAGTAGTAGTGGTAGTAGTAGTAGTCATAATAGTTGTAGTAGTAGTAGTAGTCGTAGAAGTAGTCGTCGTAGTAGTAGTAGCAGTAGTCGTAGTAATCATAGTAGTCGTAGAAGTAGTCGTAGAAGTCATCGTAGAAGTTGTCGTAGAAGTCGTCGTAGAAGTAGTGGTAGTAGTTTTTTTTTTATCTTGGTAGAGTTTTTGCCCACTGATTTGAAAGTTAGCGGTGCAATTTCAACTCCCACAGATGAATACTGTCGTTGTGCCCTTGGGCAAGACACTTAACCCACCTTGCTGTCAGTGTCTGCGTACAGTGGTGTATGAATGTGTGTGAATGGGTGAGTGATTCATTGATGATAATTTAACAACTGTGTAGTACATGTAATTATGACTGTAGTATTTTTAATATTGTGACATGAGACCAAAGGGACCGATTAAACAGGTTTCATTGAATGGACTTAGTATTCAGCCCTTTACCAGATGGTCACTGGTTTGATCTGTGAACTACATAAACATGAGTCCAGTGCCTACTACAACAGCTACTATTACACTCTGTACTGTAGTAGCATGATAATTACGATGTATCCATTATATCATAAGCAAGAATGAATGACTAAACTGCTAGTATCTTCTTGTTCCAAATACTGTAAGAATATAATTACTGCTTTATGATTTTTATATCACACTTCTGAATATTTTGAAACACTTTCTCAAAATTCCTCTTCCCTGCTTTCACACTTTCTCTGTTGAGTCTGTGTTTTATTCATCTGAAATATTTTTGTCCACCCAACTGTGCTTTGAAGTTTTATATTTCTATGTGTAAGTGCATCGCATGGAATAAGTTCGACGCCATGTTTTGGTTGTTAATCAAAATTTCATGCATGTCTGTCAGATATTTTTTTCTTATCTTTGTAGTTTTATTATTGAATTTAACTTTTCTGAACCATTACATCTGAAGCCTATTACACTGTATGTAACTCAAGCACTGAAGGAGCAGCTTGGATGAGCTGTGAAACGTTTTCATACATTTTGACAATTTGAATTCTTTCTTTGCCATTTAAATGACTATATGTACAGAGTGATTTGCAAGATTTGACTACTCTGCATTCCTTTTTTTATCCCATATGAATCAGATGTAAAATTTTCATTGGTATACTAGTATATTATAGAAAAGTTGTGGGTAAGCCTTGCCTTAACCCAAGCATCTTTTCAGCTTAGAAATGGGTCATGATAAAAAATAAATCATGAAAAACACATTGGAAAGTAGCAACCTCTTTTGAGGAATTTTGTGGTTAAAAATATAGTGGCAAGTTGTATCTTTGACAGTTTGGCTGTGACATGTGGTGGGAGACTTCACTTTGAATATGCACAGAAAGTAAGTTTGAGAAGGATAGATCTTGTCAAACTTCTGCAGGCGTTAACAAGATATAAAACTTACAAATTTTGAAGGCTATGGTATCTGATTTTTGGTATTTGCATGGCAGCTTCCAGACTCCATATTGTGTATCAGCTACTGTTGGTGTTCATATTATAAACATGAGTTAAAATATGATATTTGAGTAATATGATATTTCATGTAGATGTGATGGTTGACATTGAGCCAAAACACATGTTTTTCTATCACTGAAGAAAAATCAATTGAGGCTCAAAGCACAAAATAGGAAGAGTTTACTTATGTTTGTTTTAGGGATGAATCAATCTGATACTACATATATACATATATAACACATTTGCATCAGTTTTATCTCATGTAAATTTAATTTTAAGGGAATAAATGCTAATTTCATCCTCTACACTGGTATAGCAATGAGTATGAGAGCTGAAAAATCTGGATCGGTGCATTTCTAGTTTGTCTGCTATTTACCTAAAAAACTATGTACATTGTAAAGAAATATTTTTAATGTGTTTTTTTTTGTTATTGTTCTTTTGTTTAGTATCGTCTTCTTTGTGCCATTTGTAAACCTTCTGATTTGAAAAAAAAAAGCCATTTATACTTGCATACTGGTAATATCAATATAGGTATGTATATTATGTGTATAAAAATGCATCTTTGTACCCCCCCCCTCTTTTTTTTTGTTGTTGTTGTTCATTTAACCTGTATTTAACCAGAAGAAAATATCAGTTCAGTTCATCATTAATCAAAAGACAGAGGAGCCTGAGCCATGATTACACATCGTCCACTAAATAAAGCACTTGATTAAACAACTGCTCCCATAAACTGCATCCTACCTTCCGTATCTTTCACATGAAGGTCATATCATAGAAATACATGACAATTATTCCTGTTGTGTTTTATGTGTGCAGCTCCGGACACGTGTAACCTGGGCAGTCTTCCTAATGGGGGCTGTGAGTACCTGTGTCTGCGCGCCCCTCAGATCACAGAGCACTCCCCCAAATACACCTGCGCCTGTCCTGACGGCATGGAGCTGGGCCCAGACATGAGGCGCTGTGCAGTCGGTAAGAACTCAACTATATATGTATTACAGTCTAATGTAAATGTATTATACCTGTGCATTCATCCAGTATTACAATATAAGAGGGTATTTTCTACTACAGTCAAGGTTTAGGTCTCAGGTAGGGTTCGGTGATATGATATTGTGACAATCTGTGCTAGAATATGTTAATAACTTATGTGTTTTAGGTTCAAATATAGGTTCATTTTCATACTCTAGATTTTAAAGATGTCATAAATTCAGAAAGGCAGGGATCTATGCAACTCTTCAGTGTTCAGTGAAAGAAATATCCAGACCCAGGTTCAACATTTGTAGAACATATCATTATTTTTTAGGGATTGGCCTCACAAAAATGTCTTATTAATCTTCCACTGAAATAATCCAGTGACAACAATCTCCTCTTTTTGTGTTGAATAATGACACCACTTTCAGAAGCTATTGCAAATTTTGTTGTTTATTCATTCTACCAGAGAAGACATTGAACTTTGTGACAGTATTTGTAGGCATATTAATCATAAACCAGGTCAAACATCAGCATTTTGACAATTAAATAGCAAATTCTGATTAAATTTGAAATTTGCAGGTTTTATGTTGTTGTTTTTGTTGGGTTTTTTTGTTGTTTTTTTCCAGTGCTGTGTTATCTAACATTTTGATTGGGCTCCTTCACCTGCTTGTTTCTATGGAAATGTCATTGCTCAGCCTGAAGTATTCCACAGTATGACAATAAACAGCTCTATGTTACATTTATTAAATTACAGTTGGTTTTATACCTCAAAAATATCTGGAAAAGCAGGCATTCTGACTGTGAGCGGGGTCACTTCTCCACAGATCTGACCTGTAACTTGGTCTGGCTTGGTCTCCATGAAGATAAAAATGTTTATTACCATATTGTGAAACATTCCAGACAAAGTAACATATCTATAAAGCATTTGACAGACCCTCCACCAGAAAAGTTAAACAATGCACCTTTATTTTCCGGTGCTCGCTTTATACTATTCATAATCCTATATATATATAATACACCATCTCATTCATAAAATCTAGTGACAGTAAAGAAGATGCTATCAAGGTCAAGGTATCCCCCAGTCTGCTTGTGGTCCCTGGACACCCACGATATTATTCCACTGTCCTAATTCCAGCTGTGACACCCGCCCTCCCTCTCCCCAGCCACCTCAGTCGCACATGCATTTGTTAATGGGCCGCTCGGCTGAATTTCACCTTGCAGCAGGTGAGCCGAAAGGAGCTGGCACAGAGAGAGCAGAGAAACAAATGATGATGTGCTGTATATAGGACAGTGTACCTCAGAGGAGGAACAGGCCTATAGGATACACACAACTACTATTTATGGACTATATTGTTAAAACTGACTGAGAATTTAAAATGAATCATATCCACTAGGAATGGTACAAGATCTCGTGCCACAAAATTGTTACAAGATTGTGCACACAAAAGAAAAATTATTATTTTTTTTTTGAAGTATTTATATTTAAATTGTACAAAAAAGGGTTACTTACTGGTGAGTTACATCTCTTACAATTCTGAAGAGCAGGACTAGAATGGAAACAAAAATCTGAAATCAAATAAACAAAAAATTGTGAGGTCAAAATTGGAAACTGAATTAGGAATTATTTTAAAACCTCGTTTTGTCTTGTTGTCATGGACCCAATCTCATATCTCGCCTTGTCTTTTTTGTAAATTGTGTCTTGTCCCATCCGCAGTATCCACCAAAGGAATGCTCTGTCAATACTACCACTAACAATATTCTTATTTAAAGGTGCACTGCGTAACATTTCTAGTGGAGGGTTCACCCCCTGCTGGTCTCCATGGAAATGTTATTCCTTTGTCTCGAATGTATAGATTAAACCTAGGCCTAAACTAGATTACAGCACTATGCTACATTACAATTTCAGATCTGTGGAGAGTTGCCCATATTCATAGAAGGAATTATTTTATTTATTTTATTTTTTATTTTTATAATTTTTTTATTTTTTATTATTTTATTTTTTTATTGATTTATTTGTATTTATTTTATTCAATGTTTTTGGCAATAGAAGCACCTGTAATTAATAAATGATAGACGGATATGTTTAATTTCATACCATGGAACATTCCAGAGAAAGCTACAGCATCTCCATGGAGACAAGCAGGTTGCGGACTCTCCATCAGAAAAGCTACACAGTGCACCTTTAAGTAACTATTTAAGTAACTACTGTAGCCTCAATACCCTAATTATGCAGGAAAGATATAGTGTGGAGCGACAGACTTGATGAGGTTCAGTTTTTGGGGGATTTTATCTTTTTTTTTTATAACCAAAATGTTGGTCGCAAGCTGTTCTTGTGTCCTTAGGCAAAACACATCTATGTTATCTAACTATGAATGTGATGTATGTTGATGAAGAGGCTGCTGGCTCAGGTTGGCAGTAACATCTGTCATTCATCCCCGGGGCAGCTGCCATCACAGAAATGAAAAAAAAAAAAAAGTGATGTAGAGCACTTTAGCACAGTAAATAGAATAGATATTAAATACTAAGACACGTATTATTATTCTGAACTTTATCCTTATACTGTTTCAACTTTCAATCTTTAATTTTCTATTTTTTTCTCTTCTCTGTACAGTCCGACCAAGAACAACCACCACCTCCGCTACCACCACTACTACTACTACTACTACAACCACAACTACAACAACTTCACCTCCTACGACAACTACATCTACTACGACTACAACACCAGCCCCTACTACCACCAGCACTACAACTACTACAGCAACTTCTACTACAGCTACTACAAGTAAACCTGTTTCCACGTCGACGCACTCCCCCACGCAGACTACGCCTCAGTCTCCCAGAAGCACCTCCACAGAGCAGGTCCACACTACCACGACAGAGAGGAGCACCCACAGGAGCACAGAGAGCAGCAGTACCAGGCAGACACCCACCTCTTCACACACACCCATGCTGGGGCCCACCGCTCCAGACGGGGTGCAGAGGGAGAGCAACGGCAATCTGTCACATAGAGGTAAGGAGTTTAGTTTATTTGTGTACTACAGGAAGTTATGTGCAGTGTTTTGATTTTAAACCTAAAGAGCCATTAAACACCCTCCTGAAGCTTTACTCCTCCCCTAAGGAAAATCTGAAAAATCCTCCAGAGTGGGCAGTGCTTGGTGAGTTGGGGGGAGTGGGTGTGGGACGGGCTCTGGAGCGATGATTGACAGTCGACTGACAGCCACAACAATCCAATGGCACGTACCGGTGTGCTCCCAATTTTGAAACAGAGCGGACATTTATGTTTGGATCACGCTGTTTCCCTTTTCTCCAAACACGGCAGGACATGTCAGTGACAGAGGAGTGGAGCTGAGAGGGGCTCCTCACATACCGCCTGTAGACGCCAGTGACTGCGCTCGTCACATAATAACCTTCATCTGATTCATTGGCGGCCGTCCAACACGAAAATTCAAATATACCGACCTTAGTTGATCTTAAAGAGGCCATTACAGACACGGGTTTTGACCCAAAAGTCACATTTTTAACAAATATGCACTAAAATGCCAAAATAAGGCCAGAGATAGCTAGATACATTTCTATTTTAGATCCATTTACACTAGCCAGGCTGGGGCCACCTAGTGCCTCAATTTCATTTCTCTCCAGCGACTAGGTCAGAAATCGGAATACACTAGACGGTTTGCGAGAACCCCGGAAGTTGTAGACCACGCACCGGCCAATCAGCGAAGAGCTGTGAAGCCATGACACTAAACTCAAGTGCCTGTCTGGGTCTCTTTTGTGGTACAGCACAACAGTAAACAAAGCGGTCGAAATGGATGTAGAGGAAGCCATATATTCTGTGTTGGCAACAATTTGTGAGATCAAGGATTTAAAGCCGAAACAAAGAGAATGTTTGATTAATTTTATCAAGGGGAAAGACGTTATTGCTCTTCTTCCTATGGGATTTGGTGCATTAAATACATCACAACCAAATAGCAGTGAGTGGTTAAATAAAAAAAAGTGCCCACCTACTGGCAACCAAACAAATCATCTGACCTCACAGCATAGAGTTTCCATGAAGTGAAACTGGCTGATGAATCTACACGCTACATTCACACAGTGAATCAGTAGAAAAACAAGATTTTGGTGTTTAGTGGCTCTTTAACACTGGAATTGTCCTCTATACCAATGTTGTGGTGATTACATGTCTACTTTTGATTGTAATGTGTTCTTTAGTCTAGTTGTTATTTTGTCCAAACAATACACTTTAATGTCTTCCCATTTCAGGCTCGTATAAAGAACAAGTTCATTTACATCTTAGATATCCTGAAGCACTATTTTATGACCAGTTAAATTAAAAACTACTGTGGCTACCTTAATAATTAACTAATTACTTTGACACTCCATTTTGCTAAGACCAATTTGAATGTCTGTCACAAAGTTTTAATAGTAATATAACAGTAATAAGAGGAGTAGAAATCATAGCTAAAAAAATGAGTCTTTGTTGTCAAATGTCATTTTTTTTTTTTACATTTTTGCATTCAATACATCACCATTTACATTATTTTTAGGGAATGTATTCAAGTTGAAATTTGATTTATTTAAAAAGTAAAAAGCAGAGTACTTGTGTAAAGCATTAAAAACCTTACATGTTGGAATAGCAGTATTTTCAAAGTGAATACTAGATCTGTGTACCAGTACTACTAAGGGAATTGCTAATGTATGTATTGTTTGTATGGAGGTCACTCAAAGTTGAAATACACTGAGACGACAATAACAAAGAAGAATCAGACATGTGATATATAAACTTTAACAGTACAGAAAATAAGTCATGTTTTTAAGCTTATGGCATAGACTGATACAAGCCCACAAAAACACAGTACTGCCCCCCTACTGTTACTTCTGTTTCACACAGCTGGAATTTCCAACCAGGACTTAAAACATTTTCTTGCATTTGTGGCTCCATCCGTTCATCTCCCTCTGGTCCTCTTCTTCTACCATTTCATGCTCTCGTCAGTATCTCGGTGGGTCTGTTAGCTGCACATCCCCAGCGCTACATGTAACACAGTTGTCAAGGCTAACCCGTGACAGACCGGCCCCTCCCTCCCTCTCACCCCTCCCTCTCTCCCATCCCTTCTTCTTTCACACGGGTTCTGATGCTTTACACTAAGAGCCTGCTGTGTGTGTCCTCCATTGTCTTCAGTCAAGCTTTCTGCAGGCAAAAATAGCAGTTCACAATGCATTTCCCATAAACAATAACTGCCAATCAAAATAATGTAACAAGATGTAAAGAATAGATCGTAAAGTGGGAAAACGCATGCAGAATTTCTAAGTTGCTCATATTATGCTATTTTTCGATCAATCTTATAACGTTTCCTTGTCAGAAACACGCTTGGACTTGTGTTTTGTTTCATTCACACATTTGACGCACAGATCCTGCATAATTTAGGCTGAGTTCTCCTCTCAAACTGAAAGCACTCTATTCCACCTTGTGATGTCATGTGGTAATACAGGAAGTGCTTCACTGTGTATTTAAACTCCATACATCTTCACTAGATTCACTTGGATAATTTCAGCCCTGGGATTTCCCTTCTCTACACAATAAAAGGTAAATGGCAGCTGTTAACTACCACTACATGACATCATAAGGTGGAACAGAGGATTTTGAGCTTTGGAAATGCAGAGAAACTAATAATAAAGGATTACTCAATGATTTTGATCATTATAACATGGCTTAAAGCTCATAATTTTGCATTATATAGGACCTTTAAAGTGCTGTGACGGCTGGATTACATGTATTTAGCAAAGGTAGATAGTACAGTTCTATTTACTCAAGTATATTGGATATTTTAAGTGCATTTGGAGTGAATATTGCAATATATTCAGTAAAAGTTTTGGTTGCTACTATTTATATAAACAAGTCTACAATTAGCAGAAGATTTATGTGGACAATTTATGTTGACAGTATGAGTCAAACATTTGTATTTTCAGATATTTTCAGATATTATGTTATTAATATTATAATTATGTTTTTCAGTTTCATTTGAAAATGCCAGATTTTGTGCAGTGTTTAAATTTGTATCCTTCCAAATGCATGAATTTTAAATTGAACAATTTTGGCCATTACACCCAGACAGTTACTCATACATTTATTTGAGTATCCTAGTAGTTTCCCATGTACTTCAACGTGAATAGTATAATGTGAAGTAATGGTACTCTTGTTTGATTTGAGTACATTTTCTGCTACTCTACCCACCTTTTCTTACTATGTGGATGCTTCTTAGTATTAAAGTTATAACTATTCATTTGAAAATATATATTGACTTGTTTTTAGTTCTTATTTTAAAAGTTAAAGAGAGAAAACATGACAGCTTGAAGACTTGGTGTATAATAATCATATTTTAGTGGGATACTTGTTTTAATAGATTCAGCCGTCAAATGTTCATTCAAATCAGTTTCTTCTGTTCATTCATTGAAAGGGAAATAGGATTCAAATGGGAAAATCCAGTCTTCATCACTTTTGACCCACTAATGTTAATCTCATTTCCTCAGTGCGTGCCCTGGTTTAACTGTCTGACCTATTTTCAGCTCAGTTCAAACTGTGTTAGATTAAAACCTATTCAAATTCACTCACCTCTGCACTAAAGCATGTGGCTCAGTGATAAAGTGCAGGACTTATACAGGGGTACTTTTGTGTTCAAGCTCTCATCTCTAAAGATCAGTAATTCTCTGTACTGGTTGATTTATACAGGAGCTAGAATAGTAATGGCTACTCTCCTGTTCATTGATGAATCTTTAGCCCAATAGTCCACTGCCAATCTGTACTAATAAAACATAGTGTTAAGTAGTAGGGATGTAACGATATCCAAATCTCTCGGTACGATATTATCACATATCCTTGACAAGATTTTGGTGTGAATTATTTCTGTCATAATCCCAAAAATTCAAGTAAAAACATATATCTCATCATGTTGTCTGCACTGAAATGAATCATGGGATATGTAGTTCCCAATCTTTATAAGCTGTTGCTTCTATAAAACCATGCATTTACACAAAGGAACTTGTGATTCGATATATTGTGACAGTCCACAATATTATTGTGAGATTTTTGATGATACGATATCAAGATATTTTGGTTATTGTTACATCCCTGTTAAATAGTAATGATAGTATTTATGTAGGCCTAAAATCATAATATCTCATTTTAAACCCAAATATAGTTGTATATTATTGATACTTTGCAGTGACATCATGCTGGGGGTGTTCTACCTGTATCTGTATGGTGGAATTTTTCAGGGGTTACCATGGTAACACAATGCACACATTAGCACTGTCAAAAAAGTTTTAAGATAGTCTGAAAAGGCAAGTGAAAATATAGATTGGATTGAAACAGCACATTTTCAGGAACTTATGATCTATACGAGCATTCATGGTCCGGTGTAAAATCCCTCAGTCATCCAGGTAGAATCCATAGCAAAAGGAGAAATTCAGTTTGTCAGTTGGACAAAAGTTTATTTGGTCGAATACGTTTCACATCTTATCCAAGCTGCTTCTTCAGTTCTGGTCAGAATGCTGGAGGAGCTAACTACACTGAAACTACTCTGAAACTAACACAACTACTTGTTTACAGTTTCTGTTTTCTAGCGAACTAACACAAACTATAAGCAAGTAGATGTGTTAGTTTCAGAATAGTTTCATTGTAGCTAGCTCCTCCCTTCACGTATAATATATAAGGAAGTGTCCACCAGCATTTTGACCAGAACTGAAGAAGCAGTTTGAATGAGCTGCAACATATTCAAACAAATTAACTTTTGTTCAGTTGACAAATTGAATTTCCTGTTTAGGAGTTTGATTTTGAGTTTAAAAAAGTTGTGACTAACTGAAAAACTGTGCACTAGTTTGTGACTGTTGTAGTTCCAACTAAACCAGCTCTTTCTGGTCAGATTGTGTAAAAATAAAGCACAGATGAAAGTCTAACAAGCTTCAGATAGAGCAGTACTTACAGTTAGCATCAGTCTCCCATGGAATGTTAATGAC